CTTGTCGCTCCTTCTCCCATCATCTGTGTGTGTGTGTGTGTGTGTGTGTGTGTGTGTGTGTGTGTGTGTGTGTGTGTGTGTGTGTGTGTTAAGATGCGTCACAGTAAGACACATGATGATACAGAAACCATATCATCAAATAAACTCCGAAATAATGGATCAGCGCATTCTCCGTAAAAATCAAGTTGGGTGGGCACAGGATTTTCATTGACCCAAACTCTACACAAGGAGTGCCATCGTTGCTGTCCAGGGATCCAAGCCAACCCATACACTCTTCAAACGAGGCCATAGCAACAGGATTTACTTTGCAGAGCTTCCAACTCAACAAACAATAATAGTAAAAAATAATAGTAAAAAATAGTAAAACATAATGACAATAATGAAAAACAAATACGATTAATAGACTAAACATTCTTATTTATATCCAAAGTGGTTGGTAATAATTTTTGAAAACACATGTCAGCCAGAAGGCAAAGGTACCGCTTAGCGCACACAGCGCAGCAGGCTTGCGCTGGAGGTCGCGCAAAACAGTCGTCGGGGCGAAACTGCACACGTAGGTCCAACGCCGACACGGCGAAGCTTGGGGGGCTGTAGGGAGACGGGTGGTGAGCGACGCAGTCAACCATAGCCTGCGGCGGTGGTGGAAGGTGGGGAAGGAAGACGGGGCGCCATAAGCCACCTCGACTGGGAAGGGGGGGTGCAGGGATACTGCCATGACGGGGTTCGGGGTCATGGTGAAGATCTGCGGATGTTTTTCGATCCAAGAGCAGCAGAGTGAGCACTTCACTGAAGTCGGAAGCAGGTACCGACAAATTCCTGGTAAAAACGCGCAAGCTGGGGTGCCGGCCATAGCTTGCCTCCCCTTGGGGCCCCACGCTGGAAGACAGGCGCAGTGGGGGAGGTGGGTCAGACATCGATAGTCTCTCAAGCATTACATCAGCTGAAGCGAAGGCGTGCTAGGCACAAACAGGCACATAAGTGTCGCGAAAAGAAAGTGTAAGTGGTGACGCAATCAGAAAAGTCGTCTATTATCATAGGTTTTGACCTCAGCACCACCCTCATCTTCGTACCCTCCCTCACTCCCATACCTTTCGACATATCATCCTCTCCCCTTTCTTTCCCTCCCCCTTCTAATTGTCTTCTTCTGTATCCTTCCCCCGTTTTCCCCCTAACTTCTCCTTTTTCTCTGTCTACCTGCCTCTTCCTTTCATTTCCCGTTGTGTCTTCTCTCCTCTCCCCTTCTTTCCCTCCCCCTTCTAATTGTTTGCTTCTGTATCCTTCCCCCAATGTTTCCCTAACTTCTCCTTCTTCTCTGTCTACCTGCCTCTTCCCCTCATCTCTCATTGTATCTTCCATCCCTCTTTCGGCCCATCACCGTTCCTTTTTTCCTCCGTCTCTTGCCCCAACCAGTCCAGCGTCGGTCGCGCTTTCACGTGGGGGTGACGTGGGGACCGTCCTCCTTCCTCTCACCGCATCGCCTCCTAAGTGACCCCGGTGTACCTTTTTGGGCAAAAACGAGAAGAAGCGAGGAGTGGAGAGGGACAAGGGAAGTGGTGAGAAGGAAGGAATGTGGGGAGTGGAGAGTGAGGGGGAATGCGGACGATTCGTGGGAAACGAGGGGTGTAGGAAGTACAAAATCGGGATTGGCTGAGAGGGGAGAAGGAAGATCTGCGGAGAAAAGAAAGGACGGAAGTCGCAATTCGATGTTGGGACTGTAGTGACGGGGATATCACAGTTTTTCCGGGTAAGAAACTAGAAGGAACGAGGAGTGGGGAGTGGTAGGGGGGAATTTTGAGTCCACGATCCCGAGACAGCAAAGCCACGGGAGAAAAGAGAAGGCAAGAAGGAAGGGGGGGTGGAGAGACGAGGAGTGCAAATCCATCGTGTCGTCCGATGGAGTGGAGAGCGATAGGAGAGGTGATGAGGAGTGGAAAGGACGAGACACAAAAAGACATAAAAGAAAACATAACCCGATCGCATATCTCGATCGCAACTCCCTGTTCCCCCACAATCACGAAGAAAGGGGAAGGGGAACAGGAAGTGGAAGTGGAGTCAGAAGGAGCACAGAGCGGTAAAATCAGGACTGTGAAACAGTCAGAGGGTGTGGATTGAGGGGGAAGGAAGGGAAGCAGGGAGGGAAGAGACAGCGAACGCAGTGTATAGCGGA